GTCTTTGAAAAGGTTTTATAGGATAATTTCTCTCTAAATCTTCTGTACTAAATATACCTAAATTATTTAAGAATTGTGATAAGTGATAATTTCCCATATCTTCTTCTGTTTGTAATGAAGATGGTGGACCTCTTGGCTGTCTAACTGGTTCAACAGTTTGAGGAGCTTGTGCTTGTGCTTTTTGAGCAACTGCTTGCTGGGTCATTTGTGATTGGAAATCAGCTTTTTGCTTTTCTAATAAAGATTGGTATTCAGTTTTTTGCTGTGCTAATGCTTCTTGAATCACCTTTTGTATATCGTCTTTACTAAAAGCTAGTTGAGAAGCTGAGGCAACTAGTAGTAAAGAATAGGATACTGGATTTATACTAGGTAAGGCTTGGACTTGATTGGCAATTTGACTTGATTCCTCTGAGATCCTTCCACTCAAATTTTGCCCACGCTCTAGCCACATATTTTTTAGTTCAGTGAAAAATACATCAATGCTTGCAGGATTAACAATTCTCATCCAAGTATAAAAATCGCCTGTTAAATAACTTTTAAGAAATCCCAAAACTTGTGCATCATTGTCTGCTACTCCTAATAATAGTGGTCGAATTCTGGCTTCATAGGTATTAGGAGTATCGTAGGGCTGATATCTTTCTTGAGTCAATCTTTAAATAGCCGATTGTTGATTTCCAACAGTTTCTTGCTGATATTTTGCTCTCATCCAAGCCTGTAATGTATCTGGAGAATTTATAGCTGGATTTTCTACTACAAGATTATTATTTGCTGGTATTGGAACATATTTTCCACCCATCATAGATTTTAAAATATTACACTTGACCGCATTGTTAAAATCTCCTGTATTTGCATTTTCAAGAACCGTCATATACCCTTCAAGATATGCCCATGATTGAATAACTTTATTCAAGTAATCATTAGGTAGTTCTTGGCCTGTATAAGGTGGAAATTTTGCAAGAGCAGGAGCCATTAATTTTAATACCGGTAAACGTCTAGCATCA